GACCTACGGGAGCCATAGACTCCCAACACCTGCTTGGAGCAAGACCGGATATTCACCAGACTGCCTTTTGGAAAAACAAAGCCAAGCAAAAATAACAAACAAATACCTTAGAATCCTCTAACTCAAAGCAAAGCCACAGTGAATAAGGCCGATTTCCCCCAGTTATCAGGATGGACTGATTACAGAGCCCAGATTCATTTGCCTGAAGATAATTGCCTCAATTCTCCACTTCACTTTGCACATATAGAAATAGTCCCAATCTACCAGAGCCTCGGTGACTAGACATGTAAAATTGGCCTAATCATAGTTTGAAGAGCTCGAGCTGAAAGGATTCTATGAGCGTGTGCCTGACCACGACACCACTAAAGGTTTCTCCCCTCTCTGCTCGAAGCTTGCCTCCCTCCCCCAGGTCTGAAGGATGAGTCAGAGCCTCGGCAGTGGAGATGAAATCACCTTTGAGGCTCTCTGCTCCTGCTCCTACTCCTGCTCCTGAAGAGGAGGCTGGGAAAAATGTGAGATGGCCAGGAGAGCTGGACAAAAAACAAAACCATAAGCCTATGGCCTATGACATTCCTAACAGGGAGTCTTTGCAACTGGCGATGTTTTCATCCACAGTATACCAGCTCCAGACAGGAGATGTTGTGCAGGACAGAGAGACATCTGCCGTCAGAATCACCTGGGCTGGGGCCATCTTTGCACATGATATTTCAGGCAGCCGTGGGAAAGATCCAGACAAGCTAAGCCAGGGCTAGGCACACAAACAGAACCCAAAGCAAGGCAAGTGGTCAGAGCACAGGAGTTGGACCAAAGACCACATGAAGGCTAAGCTCCAGGCCCAAAGCACAGAAGAGTACCATGTCTCAGAAGGACCTGTACACCAAAGCTGCACCTTCACGTACCGGAGCTTCCAGACGCTTCCTGGTGCCTCAGGAATCTACAGGTTGCTCCTTCTGTGGCAGGAGGGAGGAGAGCAGATAGGTGTGTTTGCAGTGGGAGAACCCACATAGAGCACAAAATGAAGGGACAGGAATGACTAAGAAGACAAGTATCTCTGCACATAGGAACATGGTTCAGTTCTCATCCTATTTCCCTTTCAAAATGAATGGCAAAAATACAGTATTATAATCTCAATAATGGCTGGGACAGAACTCAGCCACGTCAAAGAGATTATTTCCCCTTACTGTTTGCTTTTAGCTTGAGATTGCATTCCGCTCAAATCAGGAACTCTGGGCTGTCACCATTTCTACTGGTGAGAGCCAACTGAGATCTGTGCGGTCTGAGTCACAGAGAAATACTACCCTAGAGAGACGAGCCAAACGCTCTTCTGTTGTACCCAGTCCTCTTGGGGAACAGGCAGGGGGGCCGACGACGAATTCTCAGTGGGGTTGCGCCTTTCTGGCTGATTGCCACAGTGAGGGGTGGGAGTACTTCAACGTCTCTGAATTCATTTCCATCCAAAGCAAAGTTTGAAAAGCTCTCCATCTCCAAAAATAACCCTTTCCAATGACTGTCCAAAAAACATGTGCAAGAGTGATTATACCCACACGGTGGGCAGAACAGAACCAACCCTTTGTCTTATGTCTCATCTTGGAAAATGTGTTGGTATCTATCGGACCCATGACAATAGCCTACAAGCCTTCTGGTTTTTTTTTGCGGTGCCGGGGACCGAACTCACAACCTTGCGCTTGCCAGGCAGGCGCTTATGCCACTGAGCTATATCCGCAGCCCCTACAAGCCTTCTAAAGACTCACGTGACTCATCCCCTTCTCCCAGAGTGACCAGCACATGGACGCTACACATGGTAGGCCCATGGGGGCCGGTGGATTGAAAACAGTGGTCTCCTGGGCTTTTATTTATTTATTTTCCAACAATATAGATTTTTTTTTTAAGGAGTTTTATTTTTTTATTAATACATTTTAGAGATACATAGTGACCACATTCATCACAGGGAATTTGTACCTGTACATGGTATGCCTTGCTTTTTAATACCATCCCCCTCCTTTCCTTCAGCTCCTCTTCCCCTCTTTATTTACAAAAGCTTTGTTTCCATTTTTTCCTTCTATTTCTTTTCCTTGTCCCTTCTTCCCCCTCCCCCACTTGTTCCCCTTCTCATTTGAACATTTTCTCATGGGCTTTTAAAACTCAAAAGAAAACTTCAAAGTTAGATCAGGTTAAAAAAAAAAAAAAAAAAAAAAACAACAAAAAACTCTACCTCTTTTAGAAAACCAGCAAACTGTACCTTTGATTGGCATACTGTCACTGAGCTCCCCTCCCCTGTCTATCTACCTGATGTGAAATTTATTCTTCTGCACCTGTTGGCAGTCTGTTTTCAGTATTGGGGGCGTTTCACTCGATGTACGTATGGCTGGATGGTAGGGATTGCTCATCTTCAATTACTTCGTTCTTCTCACAATGCCAGGAATAGTGTCTTGGTCATAGAAGTGACTCAATTCATGATTGCTAAATAGCCAATTTCATTTGTAATTTCCGAGACAGCTCCAGGAGGGGAGGCAAAGAGGACCGATGTAATTAATGGATGGACTTCACTGATGTCTTTGCTCCGACAAGTGACTTGTGGAGCAAGGAGCCTCGGAGCCCTGCTGAGTGACAACAGCTCCATGCTGGGCCACTAAGTCCATCGTATCCACCTGTTTTCCCGTGTCCTCAAACTGCCACCTGGATATTCCTTCCCATCACCAAGCTATGGGCATTTTTAAATGCTTCCAAACAAGCAGAGTTGAACAGTGTGTCGGTCAGCCCTCAACCCTTCTCCCTCAGTCCCCAGATGCCATCATGAAAATCAGATCTGGGCTGAGAAGGACTGCATCGAGCCTGAAGTTTCAACGCTACCCAGCTCGTGAGGACCATCGAAAACATCTCCAGTATGTGCTCATCTGTCCTTTGACTTAACATTGCTTCTGACAAAGAGCCAACAACCTTCTGAAGGCCTACTCTTCCTCAGAGCCCTGACTGTTAGAATATTCCTCTGTGGGCTGAGCTGAAAGCTACCAACAAATGCCACTCATAGGTTTTAATTTTGCCCTTCTGGAGCCACATAAAGTAACTCTTAAAGGCTCTTCCACATGATAATCTTTTAAGGGGCTGACGACAATATTCTTGATAATTCATCCAAATAAAAACCTTACTCAGTGTATGATACTGTAATGAACTGGAAACCGCACTTTCCTGACCATCTGGTTTAGGAGCCTCCCTCTGGCAAGGCCCTGAAGGTAATACATGGCTATACTTTATTTACCAGCAGACAGAGAGAGTCCCCTGTTCCTTAGTGTGGTAACAACTGAGGTCGTTCATCACCCACTTGGCCCTTTTTGAAATTCACTCTGCAGCAAGCACTTTTTAAGTCATGCACGTAATGCATTTTAAAGAGCATTTTCTGCACAGACCCATCTGCTCGGCCTCGGCACTAAGTGTGAGATGGAAGAGTATTTCAGTGCAGCCCCTGCCCCTCCTAGAGCCCGTTCTGAGCACACACTGAAATGTGTTTCTAACTGCACATGACTAGGGCTCAAAAATTCAGTGTTTTGTTAAATGTTCATTTGCTGATTAAAATGCATCTTTCAAAGAAAGTGCATTGCTAATGTAGAATCTAGTCCAAAAATATGTATTATGTAATGCATATTTTTTAATAATGCAGGCAATCTCAGTGTATCTGTATTAGTGAATCAGCTCTGAGCTGCCATCTCCATTATAGGCATAAAGCACTCCATCTGAAAAATGAAGTACTTTTCTGTATACACTAAAGAATCATAATCTACCTCACTACTGATAGCTGGCATTAGTTTCCACTGAAAGGGCATTTACCAGCACCTACATACTCCTGATTTTTTTCTTCAATATGTCCTGAAATTAGCTTGACCAACATCTTTTTTTCTTACACTATTGGTGGAGCTGTTCTAATTGAAAGAAATAAAGCAGGCAGGTCAACATGAAAATGAAATATCCCTGTTAGTCAGGACTGGGAGGCAGAGACCAAGATGTGAAATACAGAGCTCCAAATACCCATGTCCAGTGCCCCATAACAATGCCCACAGTATGATTAGAGCCACGCCAGTGCTGGTGATAACAGAAACCCTTCACTTTCTCTGGGAAGTGTTACAGTGGGATACAACTAGAATACAGACCTCTGTCCTTTTGTGGGGTTAGCCAGATCAGCTCCTTTTTATTGGAGTAATCAGTATTTTAATGCTACAGACTTAACTCCTAGAATGCAAGGTACAACACAGACATAGCCAAGAGGCAGAAACAAAACCACCACCCATCAGAAACAGTAGCTGGAATCTCACTAAGATCTTAACTTTGTATCTGGCAGCTATAATGCAGGCCTGGTATCAAGCATGCAGGTAATGAGGAATGGCTTTGGGAGCAGGACTATTCACCCATCAGAAAGGACCACCGGGAGGGAATGCCTGGTGCGTCAGTTCAAATGGGAAAGCAGAGAATTAGGAGAAGTAGCTCCTCTTCCCTGAGTTTTCCCTCACCGACTTCCAGGGAGAAAAGGGCCCAACTGGTGATGTGCCCCAGGTGCAGTAACCTTGCTGACACTTCCTGGATTCCAGGAAGTTGGCTTTGCTCTGAGCTTTATCACCTTTGACCTCTCACTATAACAAAAAAGGCACTTCATATTTAACAGGGAGGACCAGACCAAAGATATGCACACCCCAAAAGAAGCAGTCACATTACAGATGAAACTCAAGAGCTTCCCCAGCGCAGCCCCCCACCCTTTGATTTTCCAGAGCTGAGAAAGAGTGGTACTCGTTTATTCCAGTTCAGTAGCCTTCAGAGCTCAATACTACAATCCAGTGGTATCTGGCCGCCCCCTAGCTCTGATGCTCTGGCAGATCTGTTTTCTCACGTAGAATTTAAGCTGGATTAAACAGTGGGAACGACTGGGAATATAGCTCAGCAGCAGAGCATTTACCTAGCATGCATAAGGTCCTGGGTTCAATCCCCAGTTTTGCCCCCCACCAAAAAAAAAAAAAAAAAAAAGTCAGGGGTAAGGATGGCTTTTAAAGGATTCCCTGTTCCCATTAACAGATTCAATTCTCAATATCCTTTCCTCCATGTGAGACTTTTTTGCCCAATATTCTGCTTTCAGCACCTAGAATAGAGCTCGACATGTGCTAGGCACTCGATGAGTATTTGTCCCATTACCTTTGTTGGAAACTTACCCAAGAAGTAGCTCTAAGAGCAGCCGGTGAAGATTCTGTGAGAGCCAGCCACTCTCTTCCCCGAGAGAGAAGCAGTTGTTCAGGCTCATCAGGAATGGTGCAGCAAAGTCTTCTCTGTCCCCGGCTGTCCTCAGTCTTCCAGCACACCTTCCCGGCTGGAGCCAACCATGGGTTGTAGACCTGAGAACTACTACCTCCACAATTGTGGGGTCCTTTCTTAGAAAAGACGCTTGTTTGTCCATAAGGTAACTAGCCAGTCAAGACTACACAGGTCATACATTTTTGGGAAGCTTTTCTAATTACAGTCACTATACCAAATCTACCAAAGGTGGTTTCATGAGTAATGACTGCCTGAGGCTACCATCTTAAACTGGTAAGCCCTTAGAAAATGCCCCGGGCTGGTCATTAATACTCATGTAGAGACCCTCATTCCCCTGAATATTTGCAATCTGGTTTTCAGCTGCTCAAGAGCTATGTTCATTTCATCCAGTAGAATTTGGGGAGGGGGGCAGACGCCACACAGGAATCTGCTCCAGCTACCCAAGCTAACCTACCTGTGGCTAGAGCTCCTTTGCTTGTTCGTTGGCACGCGCCGGCGCCAGCGCACCCCCCTCCCCAAGACTTTGCCCAAATCCTTCCAAACAAGGTTCCCGCCTGCCACCTGCCGGCCCACCAGGGTCTGCGCCACCGGCTCCGCACCACAGCTCAGCTCGCGGGGAGGTGGCCCCCACCTCCCTACTGCACATGCCCGGCAGAAGTCCGGGCGCGCAACTTCACAGGACCTCACCGCCCCATCTTTCCCCGCCTCAGTCTCCTCTCTCCTCTCCCAGGCGAGAGGACCAGCGGAGGCACCTCTCCCGAGTCTTAGACTGCGGAGTCTAAGACTTAGCGAGAGGAGCCCCGGAGGAGGGAGATCATTTCTCTCCTTTTCCCATCCCTCTTTGGGGGGCCTTGGAGAGGCAAGCAGACGCGCGGAGCCTTAGAAAGTTCTTGAGTGGTCAGAAAGGTAGGTGCGTGCTTTTTTCTCCTGACACGGAGTGGGACTGGGACCCTTGGACCCAGCTTCTCACTTCGTAAGGTGAACCTTTTTCGGCTCCAGCAGCCAATGCACCTTGGAGCCACTCTCTGCAGAGCCAGAGGGCGGGTCGGCTTCTCGGTGCGTGCCTAAGAGGATGGATCGGAGGTCCCGAGCTCAGCAGTGGCGCCGAGCTCGCCATAATTACAACGATCTGTGCCCGCCGATAGGCCGCCGGGCAGCCGCCGCGCTCCTCTGGCTCTCCTGTTCTATTGCGCTCCTCCGCGCCCTTGCCGCCTCCAACGCCCGTGCCCAGCAGCGAGCGGCTGCCGGGCAGCGCCGGAGCTTCCTTAACGCCCACCATCGCTCCAGCGCCCAGGTACTCCCCGAGTCCCCCGAATCCGAGTCTGACCACGAGTACGAGGAGGGAGACCTCGAGCCGTCCCTTCCTGAGTGCCTAGAGTACGAGGAAGAGTTTGATTACGAGACGGAGATCGAGACCGAGACGGAAACCGAGTCCGAAATCGAGTCCGAGACCGACTACGAGACCGAGCCTGAAACCGCCCCTGCCACTGAGCCTGAGACCGAGCCGGAAGACGAGCGCGGCCCCCTGGTGCCCAAGGGCTCCACCTTCAACCAGTCTCTCACCCAGCGTCTGCACGCTCTGAAGTTGCAGAGCCCCGACGCCTCCTCGAGTCTCGCACAGCCCACCACTCAGGAGCTCTACAGCTCCAGCGAGGGGGAGGAGTCCGAGCCCGAGGAGAAGGATCAGAAGGACCCCGAAGAGCCCGAGGAGCCCAAGCAGAAGAAGCAGCGCCGCTGCAAGCCAAAAAAGCCCACCCGCCGCGACAGATCCCCGGAGTCCCCTTCCAAAAGGGGACCCATCCCCATCCGGCGTCACTAATGGAGGACGCCGTCCAGATTCTCCTTGTTTTCATGGACTCAGGTTAGTTGAGTTGCCCACGGGTAAATCGGGAAAGGACCCTGGGGCAGTGTGGACCTCATAGGAGAAGGGGTGGGAGAAGAAAAAGACAGGCAGGAGGCAAAGTGGGCGGGAAGGGGCTCAGAGAGCCCAGGAAAGAGGGTCGGGGTGAGCAGACCAAGGCTCCCCAAATCTTCCCAGGGCGCCCCGGATGGCCAAAGGTTTGTTTGACGGTGGAGCGCTCCTTGCGCCTCACCAGAGACGACCTAAGGTCTCCGAGCTGGTGCCCTGGCCAAGGGACGGAATCCTGCGCGCGCCTCGAGCTTTGAGCTGCACACCCAAACGACAATGGTAAGTGACTTGTTTTATGTGTTTTTCCCCTCCTCCTGGAAAGGTTAGTCTCAAACACGTTGGTTTGGGTGAACGCCCGAAATGTGGTTTGGAGGTGCGCGCGCCAACTTTCCCCATTCCAGAGGAGCCGCGCAGTAGCGACAGTGTTGTAATGTGGGAAAAGTAACCAGAATGGGATTGGGCGAGAACTCCGGGGACTGCCGGTTCCGGAGGGAAGTAGCAGGCGCGCACCGCGCCCGGCGGGTTCGGAGCCTGGAATCCAGGTCCCCGCGCTGCTAATTTAGAGCCGGGGCCCTCGGCGCCGGGGCCCTCGGCCGCCGCACACCAGTCTGAGCCACCAAGGCCCACCGTTCAGGCACTCAAGGGGCCACAACACGGAAAAAAGCGTGCGCACCTGTCCATACGCCACAGAGCTAACCTCTCCCGGAGGACCGGTTTCTCCCCGCGAATGGCTGGTCCTTGCGAGGGCCGGGAGTGGAGGCACAGAAGCTTCTGGGGGTGCCCCAACGGGCTACCGGGTTTGGCAGCGCAGACTCGATCACGTCGGGGCGTCGCCGTCCTTTTGGCGCAGCTGGTAAGGCGGCGGGGCCGGCTGCAGCTTGGCTGGAAGTTTCCGGGCTGTTCGTGCAAGGCGTTAGGCGGAGGGAGGAGGGGACGAAGAGGTCTGCGCGGTGGTCGTGGGCGGAAAAGTACAGCGGAACAGGGAATAGACTGGAGTGGGGGTCTCGTGTACCACGAGGACACCGTACCGAGCCCCCAAAGAGCACGTCACCGGCCGGGGGAAATGTGTCGGGTCTGGGGCGCCGGCGCTCGCATGTTGAGCGGAGGCGGGTGCCTGGCGGCTTCCGCAGCCTGGAGGAGAGGCGGCTCGCTCCGGCCATCTTCGGCTCGGCAGAGCTAAGTTTGGAATCTGTACCCTGGAGGGGAAATTGCCTTGATGATCCAGCACAAAACAGCCGCAATCCCGTAGCGCACCTTGGCGTGCCTTCTCCAATCCTGAGGAGAAAGGCTGATGAGTGAAACGTATTTACAAAATCTCACCTGATCTGGAAACTGTTTTGTTTTGTTTTTTCCTGGTGCGCGCGCGTCTGGTTGAGCGCCGGCTTGAGTTCCGACGGGAAAGACGCGGGGGGCGGCGAAGGGGTAAAGCGTTTTGACGACTTGAAATGAGAAAAGGTCGTGCTCTTAAACTCATTAAGAAAAGGATAGTGCCAGAAGGAAAACACTTTAAATGGTCCTCGTTCCAGGACCTCTTCCCGGGAAGGAGTCGCCGCGCCCGGAACTTAGTTCCGCGGGGCTGCCGTGCTACCGATGGTCGGGTGCCTGCGTGGTCGTTAGTAAACCGAGGAAGGCGGCTTGTTAGCCAGGGGTTTACCTCGGCAGCATTGGTGTTAGTCTGGAGGAAGCCTAGGACCTGCCGAAAGGCTGGGGTGCCGGCTTCTGGCTCGACTGTGAAACTGAACAAGTGAAACGCAGCCCTCCCTAAATTGAAATTCCCACTTACTGTAAACAATGGTTGTGACATTTCTGTGACATTAAGTGTTCTGTTTTTCTTCTAGTAACGTCTTAGTAGGCTGTGTTCACTACGCAAGAGATCTCTAGTTAACAAGCAAGAGAAAGCTGGGGGTTTCGTTGGATTTCTAGGAGAGTTATCTTCAGTTTGGGTAGTCTAGGGGAAAGGTTTTTTCCGTAGAGCTTGGCTTTTCATTAGCTAATTTGCATGCTGCCTCGCTGTGGGATGAATAAACACACTTTTAAAAATGAGTAAGGTTAAAAAAAGAAAAAAAGAAAAGAAAAAAAAATGAGTAAGATCGTTTGTGCCTAGGTAAGTCTTGCTGTTCTAAAAGGAAAGCTGCACAGAGAAGGCTGGCTTCCCTACCAGTGAGCAACGCACCAGGTTCCAGTCTAGGGACACACCAACAGTTTGTTGTCTTTCACACAAAGTCTCCCATAAACGGCCCCAAGCAACAGATGCAGAGATTACAGACCAATTGGGAAATCCTGGGGCCGGCTCAAGTCCCTCCCCGCCGCGCCCCTCCCCCAACCTCCCTCCTCCCACCCCGATTCCAAGGTGAAAAAACCAATGGGATCTGTATGCAGATTTATGGAGGAGGATACCCTACCCCATCCCTAGGAAAGGCACCCACAACCCACCTGGGGAGAAGGGCTTCTTGCTCAATAGACATTTCAAGCTCATTTTCTGTTTGAGGCACTGGGATTCAGCTGCTTTCCTTTTCTGCAGACATTTCCAGCAAGTTCTCCCAACCTTCCCAACTCACTTGTTTCCCAACTGGCCCTTTGTCTCACCGTGCTAAGCTGAGCTTAGCATTTCAATGGCATCACTTGCCCTTTTACATAGGTAGGGTCTGCTGAGAGCACAGTTGACCACACAGCCTGTTACAATATTTCAAGTGAAGATGGAGGGGAGGGAGAGAGGGAAGAGAGTAAAGTGAGTTAAATGGGATGGTTTGCCCCAACATTTGGGATTTTTTCCTTTACTATATTAATCATTTGCTTAATGGAAATGTGGTTGGGGGGGTGAGAAAAGTGCTTTTATAATTGGAAAGTTTTGATTTGGAAATTATGTGGCAATGTTCAAATACTGTTTGATGTCAGAAACCTGATGTAGGTTTACTTCTAAAAGTTTATAGAGAAAATGCTTTGTGTTTATCAGCACTGAATGAGAGATTTTAAAGTTCACAAATGTTTTGAGATGTTTCTTTAATGCACGAGAAGTCCCCTCCCCCCCCCTCCCGCTTGCTCTCTAGCCTTCATATCAGCAGCTGTGATTGAAGAGTGAATGAAGAAGAAAGCTGAAATTTTCGCTCTAGGTAAGAATGAGATTCTCTCTTTAAAAAAAAAAAAAAAAAGCATGGATTTCCCTTATCTGTCTCTCAGTTTATCTGCTCTTTTGGAGGGATGTGCTTTTGAGAGAAAACAGCAGAAACCCAGGGATGGGGAAAGTATTTCAGCAGGAAGGTGACCCATCCGAAAAAACAAATCACTGAAATTACGTTTCCAGAGGCCAGTGACGTCATGTGCCAGCTCAAGTAATGCCCTCCTCTAACGTACTGCCCAGCATCGGGCATGAGATTCTCAAATGACATGTTTAATCCTCATGTTCTAGAATGAAGGATGGAATTTCTCCTCCTGCTGTAAGGTTTTGATATTAATGATTTTATTTCTTAAATCTCCATGTTTCAGACATGGGCATCTAAGCTAAGGCAAAAGGTACTGGGCTAAGCACAGGCTGCTTCCAGCCCTGTCCTGTCAAAGCCTGTGTCTTACTCAGCACCCCTTCTGCCTCAGTTTCTTCTAAAACAAACTAGCTAAATGACAGGTTCCTGTTTATTTTCCCTTTTGGCTCCAAACGTGTGCCAGCTGATTAGTTTAAGAATCCTGGAGTGTCCAATTTGACTCTAAGCATGATTTTAGTACTAATTAAGCCCAATATTTCAAAAATTGATCAAATAAAAAGTACCATCTATAAAGGAATCTGTGTTGGTCTAATGTCAGTGCTGTCAAATCTGCTTTTCAACTGGTGGTTAAAAAAAAAAACGTTTAAGGGGGCAGGGTAGAGAATGTGAAATTCCATTGTGCCCTGTCCCTAAACTGACAAAACAAAAATAAAAAAAAAAAAACCCTGGCCATCCTTAGAAGCAGGCTTCAACATTCACTTTGCAGCCGTGCACGCCTGTGTGTGTCTGTGTATCCTCGTCTTCTCTCCCTGACGTTGGTGTCTGGAAACAAGCTCTCCAGAGCCTGAGCTGGCAGCATACTGCAAGTACTGTAGAGTACTACAGCAGCAGGGAGACGCTACCGGTGGAGGGCTGCAGGCTGACAGAGCACTGCTTAAGCGACCACACATGTTGAATACGTTATCTGGTAACAGGTTTGAGTTTCCTGATTAGGTTAAACCTTGAAAAATGGCTTAGAGGCTGTAGCCAGTTAGGATAAACTAGTTGTTTCAACCTTTTTTTCTCCCAGTAGTACTCCTTCCCAAGTGTTTTTCTGAGCCGTTTTCCCCCTGGTCGTTTGCACTATTCTCCATGAAATTTTCATACCACAGATACAGATATATACTATATTATCTGTTTATGCACTGTGGAATCTGGTAACAGCTAAGTTTTTGTGCACACACAACAGCCCCCAGCATCAATTTGGCTCCTTTGCAAATGCATTAGATAAACAAAGCAAACATTTTCCCTAAAAAAATCGATTCTGTCCAATCAAGTGATTTAGCAGCCTCTGTTTTGCTTTACAGTTTAACCCTTTGTTGGCCACTTATGAAATTTGGTGAATTTTTAGTGGTGTTTGTTTTTTTAAATTTCAAAGGTTCATTTTTTCAAAATTCCCCCACTATCAGCTATTGAGTGCTACTGCCTGGTTACTTCACAAGGCAAAGGCCACCGTTAACAGCCTAGTGACTTCTCTCTCCTAAAGCCAAGAGTCTGCATTGCAAGGCGACCATCACCTGTTGATAGCGCTGTGCCAGCAGAGCAGGACACCCAAGAGGAGCTGGCGCCATGGCACCCTCCGTCTGCGAGCTATTCCAGTGTCACTGGGAGGCTGCCTTTCCAGCTTCAAGTGGGCATAACCTGTGTTTATTCTATGGGCCTATTTGAGAGTGGGAGTGTTATAAATCAGCAAGGGAACTGGGCTACCCAAGAGGC